GGGTGCGGGGTGGAGCGCCCCCGTCAGCATCTGCGAGGTCTGGCCCCGCGTGGCCGCCAGCCAGTCGCTGATGTCACGGGCTACAGCTGGAACCAGGACCCCCAGATTCCTGACCACTAACTCTCTACAGCCAATTCCTGGACGCTCCACTCCTGGGGGGTAGGAGGGGGGGTCCAGGGGGAAGTCCATCATGTCCTTGAGGTCCTTCTCATTCTCCTTCTCGTACTGGGCTCCGACCTGTTTCCATAGATCACTAGCCAGTTGTTGAATTTCTGGAACCTGGTCGTTGATGCAGCTCAGCAGGAGAGGAACCAGTTTGCAGTGGTACGAGTATCTGTCCCTCAGGTGAAGCAGCCAATCACCGACGACTGCAGCCACAGCTCTTCTCACCTGCGGTGAGTCGTCAAACAGTCTTTGTGCCATGTGCCAAACGACGTCCTCCATGTTGTTCCCACCCCCGTGTTGAATCACGGCCCCGGTGGCCTCGATCACAGACACTCGCACCCTGGACTGCTGGTAAGTGATGGTCTGCATGAGCGGGTTTATCAGACTCTTCGCCTGGTTGTAAAAGTGCTCCGGAACGTTCTCCGCCAACTTCACCGTGCACCTGCAACTTTCTTGTTTGACGTCTGGGAACGGATCCTCGATGGTTCTCCCCAGGATGTCGATCACCTCCTGGACGTACGGAGCTACGTGCCGTCCACACACTTCCACGATAAAAGTCAACATCTCCACCGAGGACAATCGAAGCTCCTCCGCCGGCTCCAGGATCTCTCCCGCCCCGAGCCTCCGAGCCAGGCACGGCACGAGGAGGTGAAGGGACTCCTCTGGTCTGGGGATGCAGCGTATGAATTCTGTGACCACCGCGATCGCCACTTCCCTGCAGCCTTCATTCTGGTCTGACAGACGTTTGACGAGAGGTTTGAGGAACACAGAGAAGACCTCCTGCAGGACGCTGCTGGGAAGTCCTCGCTCTACAGTCTCCTTCCTGATCTGTTCCAGAGCCTTCTTTCTCGTTGACTTGTTGTCTTCATTGAGAAAGTTCAGATATTGGGCCAGTCCTTTCAGAACGACACCGGCACCGTGAACGTCTCCCTCAGTCATCTTCTCTCTCTC